CTTTTCTCTTCTCCATGTAACTCTGTGAACCTCTCTGGGTGTCCCCCACTGTGGAGAATCTTTTCACCACTAACCTAGATGTTTTATCATCAGTTCTGTATGGATGGAGAAGTCTTGAGGCTACTGTAGGAATAAGAATGAAAGCCAGGGGCAGGAGACTTAAGTCCAAAACTTGAGAACAACAGAAAACTCCTAACTCCAGGGAATATTAATCAACAAGAGCTCATCCAAAAGCCTCCATACCTTCACTGAAACCAAGCTCCACCCAAGAGCTAACAAGTTTCAGAGCAAGACATACCAAGTTAATAGGAACATAACCCTGAACACAAAAATACAGGTGGCCAAAAGTCACACCAAACCCACAGACACCTCAAAACTTGCTACTGGACACTTCATTGCACTCCAGAAAGAAGAGATCCAGCTCCACCCATCAGAACATAAACACAACCTTCCCTAACCAGGAAACCTTGACAAGCCACTAATCCAACCCCACCCACAGGGAGGAACCTCCACAATAAAGAGGAACCACAAACTTCCAGCATACAGAAAGGCCACCCCAAACACAGCAACCTAAACAAGATGGAAAGGCAGAGAAATATTCAGCAGGTAAAGGAACATGATAAATGCCCACCAAATCAAACAAAAGAGGAGGAGATAAGGAGTCTACCTGAAAAAGAATTCAGAATAATGATAGTAAAAATGAGCTAAAATCTTGAAAACAAAATGGAATTACAGATAAATAGTCTGGATAAAAGGATTGAGAAGATGCAAGAAAAGTTTAACAAGGACCTAGAAGAAATAAAAATGCATCAGTAAAAGCTGAGATCAAAAACACTCTGGAGGGAACCAACAGTAGAATAACTGAGGCAGAAAATAGATAAGTGAGGCAGAAAATAGAATGGTGGAAATAAATGAAGCAGNGGAAGTGACGCCACAGTGGATGCAATGTTAGAAAGTTTGAGCAGTCAGATGTTTTTCCAACATGCAGATATTTCAAGTGATTATGTTGTAAATTCATTCTGCATTTCTTAAATTTTAAGTCACCTAGGGAAACAATGTTCCAGAGTGAAATACAAGGAGGGATATTGAACTGGGGATGAACTAAATCAGATTCATTCTGGCAATGGGAGCTGATGATGATTGGGCCAGAAGGTGGTTAGACCCTGAAAAAGAAGCAAAAACAAGAGAGAAGCAATACATAAGAATGAAAAATGCTATCAGTTATGCTGGAGTATCTAAGAATCACTTTCCTGTGCTGCCTGTCCATGAAATAAAGGCTCACCATTCTGAAGGATAGTCATGGGAGTGGGTGGGTGCCTCATACCTATTTAGGGCTTTTGTAGGGAGGCTACAACATGCTCTTGAGGCAGGATATTTACCTCCTTCTGGTTTCTAGTTCTTATCATTGTTTCAAAGCCTGTAGCAGAGTTTTTCAACCTCAGCACTGTTGATATTTTGAGTCAGATAATTCTTTGTCTTGAAGGTCATTTCTGTCATTGTAAGATGTCTAGTAGCATCCTTGGCTGGTAGCCTCTTGGCTACTATTAATAGATGGTGGTAGCATCTTTCTGGTTGTCACAACTGAAGGTATCTCTAGACATTGGCAACTGTGTGCTGGGGAGAAAAGCCTCTCCAGATGAGAGGTCTGGTTTATAGGATCTAACTCCTCATGCGGGTTGTTTTTCTTCTACTTTTGGACCACTCCTTAGGGCCAAGGTTTGGCTGTAGGGTTATCAGATGGGAGCTGACTTTGAATGAACCCAGGTAAAAGCTGGGGTTATATGAACTCATCAGGAGCAGAGCCAGACAGGGTTTTTTCCATCACTCAGTATCAGGGCCCACTGTTTTATAATTCAGACTGTAGGAGATGATGATGAAGACTTCTCTGCATGATGGGAACCCCTCCAGATTTTCACCTGACCCCATGGTGGTGCCAGGTCTCAAAGGTACAGGAGAGTTGTGGGGGCAGAAGCCGTGGTCACTCTGGAAGGCCGTGTTCTGGGTGGAGGAATGCAGCAGGTTCTCGTAAGTGAATTCTCTCCTGACGTTAAAGCCTGAGGAGAAGAAGCCACAAGCTGTTAGGAGTCAAAGGGAGCTCTAAAAGCTGAAGAAAGCAACAGAACTGACGTTCGTGTTGTCTTTTAAGTCAGACATATTGAGATGTGTCTTACACAATAATTTTCATTAAAATTTAGCTCATTTCTATGACTTTTCAAACGTGCATATAGCTGTATAACCACCACCACAATCAATACCTACACCAGTTCTATCACCTACAAAATTCCTGTCATATTCTTCTGTGTCTGACATCTCCTGTTCCCAGCCCCTGACAACATCTTATCTTTCTGTCCCTATAGTTTGTTTTGTCTTCTTCTTTATCTATTTCTGCTTAAGTGAGGTTTTGGTAGTTTGTTTTTTTCAAAGGATTCACCCATTTTCATTGATCTTATTGGATTTATGTACGTAAAGCTATGCCTAATAATGTCTGATTGTTCACCTTCTATCTGTAGGATCTAATGTGCTTTCTTTCATGGCTGGCATTGGTAAACTGTGTGCACTCTCTCTCTCAGATCAGAATGGTAAGACATATAAATTTTATTCATCTTTTCAAAGAACCAGCTTTTGGTTTCATTTCTATTTTCTATTGATTTTATGTTTAATTTCTTTTGTTATTTACATTAATATCCTCCTTTATTTATTTTAATAAATATTAAATATGCTTTAAATATTAAAGATTTAATATGCTCTTCTTTGACTATATAAGCATTTGGATACTATAAATTTATTTCAAAATGCTACTGTAAGCTTTATTCCACACATTTTGTTATATCAAATTTTAATTTTACTCAAGTTGCATACTTATTCATTTTTATCTAGAATTTGTTGTTTGATTTTCAAATATATGGGAACTTTCCAAGTACTGAATATTGATTTCTGGTTTAATTCTAGTAAGGTTATTGAGCATATTTTGTATGATCTAGATAATTTTGTGTTTATCAAGACTATTTTGTGGCCCAGAATACAGTTTACATCTCTAAATGCACACTTAGAGTGTTTATTCTATTGTCATTGTGGGAAGGTTTTAAACAATATTAATTAGATTAAGCTGGTTGTTAGTATTGTCCAGGACTTTTATATACTTACTGAATTTTGGTCCTCATATTTTAGTTGTTACTGAAAAAGAAATGATTATTGAGATATAATTGATATGCAATATTATATTCACTTTGGGTGTACAACATAATGATTTAATATATGCATGTATTTTGAAGTGATCACCACCATAAGTCTAATTAACATCCATCAAAAAGCATGGTGAGCAAGCTCTGGGAGATAGTGAAAGACAGGGAAGCTTGGTGTGCTGCAGTCCATGGGGTCACAAAGAGATGGACATGACTTAGGCATGGAACAACAAAGCATGGTTACAAATTGTTTCCTTGTAATTAGAACTTTAAGATTGAGTCTCTTAGCAACTTTCAAGTTGTTGAAGTGTTGAACATCACCCAGAATGAATTTCTGAGTCAAGGCAGAATGCCTGGCAGGACAAGTGTGCAATACAGTATTATTAACTATATTCACCATGCTGTACACTGGATCCCTAGGATTTATTTTATAATGAAGCTTTGTACCTTTTGACCATTTTACCCCTTTTACCCACCTCCAACACCCTCACTCCAATGACCACCAATCTGTTCTCTGTTCACCATTTTTTGGGCTTGTTTTTTCTTTTGGAGTCCATGTATAAATGAGATCATACAATATTTAACTTATTTCACATAGCATAATGCCATCAAGGTCCATTCATGTTGTCATGTTTTTATAGCTTAATAATATTTCATTATATATTAATATATATCACATTTTCCTTATTCATTCATCTATCAAGGGACACTTAAGTTTTCCATATCTTGATTATTATGAATAATGCTGCAATGAACATTGGAGTACAGATATCTTTTTGAGTTAGTGTTTCTGTTTCCTTCAAAAAAAAAGAACCCAGAAGAAAATTTGTTGCATCATATGGTAGTTTTATTTTTAAAATAGCCTCTGTTTTCATTAAGGTGAAATGATCTTAAAAATAAAAAACCCTAAAGACTCCATAAATGACTGTTAGAACTAATGAATTAAAGTTTCAGGATACAAAATCAACATACAAAACTTAGTTGCATTTCTATATGCTAAAAATGAACTATCTGAAAAATTAAGAAATCAATTTTATTTGTGATAGCATCAAAAACAATAAAATACTTAGGAACAAATTTAGCCAAAGAATTGAACCATCTATACACTGAAAATATAAGACAATAATAAAGGAAATTGAAGAAGGCAGAAATAAATGAAAAGGTGTCCCAGAATGGAATATTGTTTGGTCATAAAAAAATAAGAAGGAAATTTTCATGGAAGAACTTTGAGAATGTATGCTAACTGAAGTAAGTCAGAGAAAGACAAATACCATATGATCTCATTTTTATGTGGAATTTAAAAAAATCCAAACTCATAGAAACCACAAATAGATTGATGGTTGTTGGGGGTGGGATGAATGGGTGAGGGTGGTCAAAGTGTACAAGCTTCCAGTTATAAGGTAAATAAGTTCTGGAGAGCTAATAGACAGCCTGCTGTGTATAGTTAACAACATTTTAGTGTATAATTGAAAACTGATAAGGGAGTAGATCTTAAAAGTTTGCACCATGTATGCAAAAAAATTCTAACTATATGTTAGGATGGTAGTGGTAGTTTAGTCGCTAAGTCATGTCCAACTCTTGTGACCCCATGGACTGTAGCCCGCCAGGCTCCTCTCTGTCTGTTAGGATGGCTATTGTCAAAAAATAAAAGAGAAAAAGTGTTGTTGAGAATGTGGGAAAAGGGGGACCCAGAGCACTGGCTGTGAAGAGGGTGTGAGAAGAACTTGTCTTTTATCTGGGTGTCATTCTGTCTGTGATTCAGCTTGCTGGTGACGTCCGGGAAGATTTCCTGTGAGCTGCCCTTTTGTCAGGAAGGGAGACCCCATGAGGCTGCGTGGAGTGAAGTGGTGCATTCTCCAAGTCGGAAAAGGGATTCGTCTCCCCAGATGAAGGGCAGAGGGGTGCAGGGCCAGGTGAAAACAGGAGGTGAGACAAAGTTCCTGCCCCCAACCAGAGCTCATCCAGGCCAGATAAAAAGATGGAAACCAAACCACGGCCAAGTGAGGATACATCACAGGATTCTTAGAACAGGTTCTGTGTTTGCAAATTTTGATTCTTTATTTATTGAGAACTCACTAAGAATCCCTGTGAGAACAAAAGACAGAGAGGCAAGAGTGAAAGGTCAGGAGAGTAAGAATAAAACATCCAAACAAACAAAAAGTTTCAGGAGGCCTTCAGCGCACCCTGGGTGTGGTGGGGTCGACTTCAGGGATCTTCACCAAGGGCAAGCAGCATGGGCGGCCATCCAGACATCGCCCAGAATGGATTTCTGAGTCGAGGCAGAATTCCTGGCAGGACCCATTTGGACGCTCACAGACCTCCCTGAAACTGGCGCTGCCTGCACAGAGAAGAGGGTGATGGTTACTGTTTACTGGTTTCCTTAAATTTTATTGAATTACATGCAGTGAAGGAATATCTGGAAACAAGCTTGTATGGATTTTTCATTGTTACTCGATTTTCTTAAAAATCTGTTTGTTGTTTACTTGCTAAGTTGTGTCCAGTTCTTTGCGACCCCATGGACTGCAGCCTGCTAGGCTCCTCCGTCCATGGAATTTCCCGGGCACGAGTACTGCAGTGGGTTGCCATTTCCTTCTCCAAGGGATCTTCCAAACCCAGGGTTTGGCAGACAAATTCTGTACCACTGAGTACCTGGGAGAGTCCCTTAAAAATCTGCTTTCACACAAAAAAAATTGGATTGGGGGCATTCTTGTAATATCTGGCAAGATTAAGTGCATCTAAGAAAGGAAAGACAGCTCATGGGTAGCCCTGCCCTTGCTCTGGGGCTCACACACATCAAAGCTCCTCCCGTCTTTCTCACTGCCTGTCATCTCCTGACACTGATGGCAGAAGTCAGTCTTTATTTGTTATGAGTCTTACACTGCTCATTTTTCTAAAGTAGAAAAAACTTTTTAGAGAAAGCTGTCTTTCTGTGTGTTTGTGTATCTTTCAAAAGTGGAACTGAAATACAGATCCAAAAGATAATGTACACGAGGAAATTATTAGAGAGGATATATTTCTGGGGGAAGGGAACAATATTCCTACCTATGTATAGCGCCCACGCCAGCATTTCTTGAATCATGAGGGGGCCCTCACTGCTTCTCTCCCTGGTGCTGCTCTTCCAGGTTGCAAACTGCTGCAGGAATCGTTGTGTACATTGAATTCTTAAGGGATAGGCTACCCACTCCATTATTCTTGGGCTTCCCTAATACTTCAGATGGTAAAGAATCTGCCTGCAATGTGGGAGACCTGGGTTCAATTCCTGGGTTGGGAAGATCCCCTGGAGAAGGGACTGGCTACCAACCCCAGTGTTCTTGCCTGGAGAATTCCATGGACAGAGGAGCCTGGCAGGCTATAGTTTATAGGGTCACAAATAGTCAGACACAACTAAGCGACTTTCACTTTCAAGGGCTGAACACATATACTTGTTAAAAACATTGATTTGTATTTGACTTATGTCCTAATATATTAGTGTTCTGGAAATGGGTCACACACTATGAGGGGCTCAGTTTCGAAAGTGGCTTCATTTCAGCAGTCTCCATATGTAACAAAGAGCACCTTTCCCAAGACAGTTTCTGAAACTCTTTGCTGGCATTAAAAAAGGTCTCAAAACCAGCACTTCTAGATTTTTCTATTCCAGAACACAAAAGCCAACTCTTGAATAGCTTCAAATCAGTGTAGGGCATTTGTGGCAATTCAACAAAAGTCCATTGAATTCAAAGGAAACTCAAATGGATTAAATTGAATTTAACTCTTTACTGTTCACAGAACAATCACTAATTGATATTTGTTATGCATCCACTGAATGGGAGGCCCTTACTGGGGAGCAGGCTTCCAAAGAAAAAAAAACTATGATGGCCCTTGACTTCTAACATATCATGGTCCAGTCATCTTCGTGGTTAGACAGTCCAGGGAAGAGTCAACTAGCTCTCAAAGTAGAACTCTGGCCCGAGGATGAAGAAGAGGTCTGGTAAGTGAGAGCCAGAGGTAAATAAACCATGACTGAAATAAAGACAGCATTAAGTGTCCCAGGGGATGAGAACTCAAAGCACTAAAGCCTCAAAGAATCTGATGGTTGGAGCAGGCTTTGGAAGGAAAATTATGGGATCAGGTTAGTGCTAAGTAAGGCTGTGTATTCACGGTTTTCATCTGCATTTTTCCCTATTCCCAGAATAGTAACATTCTCTGTATGTGTGTGTGTACACACACACATGCATTTTGCCTGTCTGTGAAATATACCCACTGCCCCACGCTCCATAAGGGATCTGAGACGAATGAGAGGGCTGGGATTACAGCTCCTTATACGAGGACTGTCCACATTCACCCATCTCCATACCTTCTGACTCCTTCCCAGCGCTGAGACCCCGAATTCTCAGGAAAAGATAAGACATTCCTGTTGACGTAGAGCAGTGTGTCGCTCATCCCTCCTTAGATCAACACGTCCTGGAGATAAACATCTGTGCCTGCCCCTGTGATGGGTGTTGGCATGCCACACGGCACGCAGGTGGATAGACTCCACCGCAGTGCCATCTTCACCCCTGTGTTTAAGTTCTATTCCAGGAGAACAGATGTTGAAAAGGAAGAGGAAGCCCAGGGTTGGGATGGAGCCTTCAGGGACATCATCAATCCAGGAGACCAGCAGTGTTAAGGGGCAATGGGTTAGTGGTCTCTCAGGAGTCAGACACAGACTAAGCATGCGCGCACACACACACACACACACACACTGACTCAGAGTGGCCTTTCAAGGAGACCCTTCACCTATCCACCTGCCAGGCCCCTGTAGCTTTGGAATAACTCTCAGATTAAGTATCTTAGGATTCTAATTTTTGCTGGAAGTAGTGGAGTTCTGGAGACCAAAATTTAGTAGAATAGTGCCCCCATTTTTGCCACATAGATCTAGAAACTGCTAGTAAACTTGACTAAATAATTCATATTCAGTGCTGGAGCCAGGAGGGTTTCTTTCAAACCCTCCTTGAAACACCCTTGAAACGCCCTTGACCTCGTGTTGTCTGAGAGTCGCTGTGGGGAATGACTGAGTCAGGAGGCTGCGGGTCTTTCCAGGTTTCCCAGGAGGTTTCCCACCTCCTCAGGCAGAGGTGATGGCGACGTTGCTCTGATCCCTGGATCTGCTCAAGGTCTCAGGCGCTCTACCCTTACCAAGCCGTCAGCAAGGTTTTGTTGTTGTTGTTACCTGGTGGAACGTGGCTCATAAAGAAGAGAACGGTGAACACGGGGACAGCAGTGGTCATGCTGGAGGAGGACACGGCCTGGCTTCGTCTCCAAGAGGCAGAGGCCACTTCCGCCCGCGGCTCCGGCGCCTGCGGGACGGCGGGGCCGGATGTCCGCGCTCCTCCGCCTCATTAGGGCTCCGCGCAGAGCTGTTCTGAGCCCAGAGCGGCCTTCGCAGGAAGCCGGAGAATCCTCCCTTCGTGGGACGCTCAGAGAATTGGGAGCCTGTGGGCGCGCACTTTGGACCAGAAAACC